GGTAATAACAAACCATCTTTGGAATACCAATCTGTTGCTCTGATATTTTCATTGCCAAGCCATAAACATATGAGCAGATGTTTTATTCTGTTGTATGGGATTTCAAAATAAGAACGCTTAAAATTTCGAATGTATAACGCCCCACTAGCTAATATACCGGTTTTGTAGATTATTATGCTCCGAAATGTACTGTACTATACTAATGGAATTTTCCGGAAAAAAATTAACTGATTTGTTTAACGTATTTTCTTTAATTTTTAACGATAGAGTGTTTCTTCAAAAACGATTTGTAGAGGTTTTTAATAGCTACAAGGATCTGTGAATTAAATCTTTTTGGAACCCTTGGTTTTTAAATGGGGTGAGTTTAAAGGGCTCGAAAAAGATGGTGCTTGATCGTAAATCGATGCTTTAAACGGCTATATCTAGCCAAATATTCATTGTACAACAAATCTAAATAAAGGATAATTTTAGTCATTAAAAAAGCTACAATTTGATAATTTTTATTTTTTTCATATATTCAGTATTTTCGGGAATATTTAAAAAAAGAAGGGTAAAAAATATGAAATTGTAAATCGTTTCTCGCTTTAAGCTGTACTTTTTCTAAAACTAAGCATTTTAAATGGGTCAAACTTCTTGGACGTATTAACAATACATCTACAAAGGGAATTGCAGAAGGGTGAAGATAGATTTTAATTATGGGGGTGGTTAGGGTGTTGTTTTCCTCGATTTTTTCGTAAAAAATGAGGTATTGACCTAATTTTTTTATGATAGGTCTATTTATGCTCTTTTAAAAAAGTTTTTGTGAGTTTTCTTCCAAAAATACATCATTTTCCCGATATTTGACTTTAAATCTTTCAAATTTGGCATTTGAAGAAAACCGCTGAACATTGATATTGTATTTGTAATTGTATTTGTCTTTTTAAAAGCTACAAATTTGTTCTCTACAATTTTTTTGATAAAATGCACCATTTTCGAGTTATTCGCGAAAAATCGATTAAAAACGTGGATTTTTTCGTCTAAAAGTTGTTACTTTCAATCGCGAATAACTTGAAAAATATCATTTTATAAAAAAAATGTATAGCACATTTTTTGTTTAGAATCACTTTTCTAATCGAAACCTGTAGTTCAAACGTAAAAAAAATTTTCACCCCGGAGATGGGGTGGCAACCGCCCCCTAGGCTTTGGAGCACTTTGGTTCGATATGGATTTTGATTCTTAGACTATTACCTACCTTCTGTTAAATTTGAAGTCAATCCACGCCGCACGAAAAAATTGCGAGGTGAAATGCTACATTTCCTGGACTATAACTGGTTTGACAGCATAATAAAATCGTAGATTTATGTGTAGCTTTCAATTTTTATGAGTTCAGAATCCAGCAGCCCGCTGAAGTATGGGATTTTTTATGATATAATTATTTGACAATCTTTTGTTGGTCAACCAGCTACAGCAGAATTGAGCCGAAATACATTATATTCCTATGTTCCGAATTTATTTCGTTCAATCTTATATATATATATATATATATATATATATATATATATATATATATATATATTACAGTTTTTTCTTAGTTAGCAGCAATCGTAATGATAGCCGACAACTATTAACTTCTGTAGAGTTTGTGGAGTTTATGAAATCTGGTTAAAAAACAATTAAATTTGACGGATATCAACCAGTAGAACAAGCCGGATTTAGAAAAGGGTACAGCACCTGACCATCTATATACTTTGAAAATCCTAATAAAAAAGACTAACGAATACAATCACCCATTATGTCTGGCTTTTATAGATTATGAAAAAGCTTTTGATAGCGTAGAACTGTAGGCAATAAAAGAAGCATTATTCAACAACCGGATCGACTCCAGGCACATAATATTAATACATAATATTGACGAACAAGCTAAAATGATAGTGGCGTTGGGTGATGGAATCGTAACAAGACCAGTAAAAATCAACCGAGTAGTAAGACAAGAAGACACAATATCTCCAAAATTATTTACAGCTGCCCTAGAAGATATTTTTAGGGGAAAATAAGGGAATCCCTATTAACGGAAGATACTTGAACCATCTTAGATACGCAGATGATGTAGTACTAATAGAAGACACGTGGAATGCACTGAATACGATAATTGAGGAGCTACACACAGAATCCTTAAAAAAAGGACTGAAAATGAAAACTAAACCAATGTCAAACAAAGATGACAAACCCATGATAAACATCCAAGGGACAGGGATAGACCACGTAGAGGAATATGCACATCTGGGTAAAAATATCAAATGCACATACGTACTTAAAAATAAAAATATACCTCAAAGACTGCGAACCAAATTGTTTAATTCCTGTATCCTACCTGTACTTACATATGGAGCTCAAACCTGGACTTTCACTAAAATATACATGGAGAAGATCAGAAAAAATCAGAGAGCTATGGAACGATAGATGCTGGGTATCTCACTCAAATACCATAAAACCAGTGAAGACATTGGTAATAGAACAAAAGTAAAAGATGCTGTGGAACAGGCAGCTAAACTGAAATGGAAATGGGCTGGACATAACAAGCGTCTTAAGGATGGCCGATGGAATAAAGAAATCGGGATTTGGCGGCCATATGAAGCCAAAAGACCACGACGGATGGAGCGGATGGAGCGACGATATTAAAATGGACTAATGTGGAAACGTCTTACAAACAACAGAGATGAACGACGAGAATTAGGAGAGGCCTATATTCGGCAATCCGAATAGACAGAAGGGCTTAAAAAATGAAATCTGGTAGCATAGCCAATGGGGGAACCGAAAAAAGTTAGATAAAGTGGTTATATTAGTATCATTCATGCACCACTCTATGGTTAGAGACGAAAAAATAAACTTGTGATTATTAGCTTGTATTATGTAACCCAAGTCAGTATTGATGCTTTGGATGATTTACACATTTACAGTTTGTCTAAAATAATACGACGGTGAACAATGACTATATAATTTATGTGTTATCCTCCTGCGCATTCTTATGTTGTTTAGATTATTGATAATAATTGTTATAAATATGTTATAAATTGTTATAAAGAATTATATAGCATATAATAACAGAAGCCTTGGTAATAAAAAAAATGTTTTTAAGAAGTGTAAGAAGATGTTTCAAATATACCTAAATTACATATATTGGGAAAGTTCTGAAAAAAAATATATATTTGATACCAGCATATTTAAGATTAATCCTGGGGATTCAACGTTACAGGTTATATTCCTAAAACGAGAAGTCACCGGAAGACTGGTAAAACATCGGAACGTATGCAGCCCCGAAATACGTGGGAGCGTAATAATATTAATAAGAAGAAAAAATAAATAATAAGTAAAATGACGAATGGACAACGATTCCGAAGGAAACAACGCTCAAACAATTTCTTTGACATTATTTAAATAAATCAAATGGACGTTAACAGACTAGTTTTTACGTTTTAAAATCTGATCGTACGTGATTCTTAATAATCGTTAAAAAAATTTAAATTAAGAGTATAAAAATAAAATTTCGAAGGTGATTTGGTGCCAGCGTGTATTTGTGTTTCAATAACAAACCTGAATTTCGTTATATGTTTATTAAAAGAAGATTGATTTGCCATTGACACGATTCTGATACAAATTTTCGAATCGTTTATTATGAAATTAGGTTTAATTTATTTTAAGATTTTTGATATAAAGAATACTTTATTACTGTGTGTAAATATTAACGGAAAACAATTGGCCAAGAATAAGATAATTTAATCAAAATATATGGATATAGCATGTCTTTTAACATACTATGTAGTTTGTGTTTATAAACTCGGTCTAAACTGTCGCTTATTTTGTGCGTTGATACATGTAGTACTAGGTGCAACATCGCATGTATCAAAAGAAAAGGCAGGCATCGATTTTTGTAATTAGCGTGTGCGTTATGTAGCAAAGTACATGATATTTCTTGTACTCTCTAATACAATCCAATATCTTCTGAACTTGCCACTCCATACAATTAATTGAGACGAAATTCTACATAATCTAAATATTCATAAATCAAAAAAAACAATAAAACAAAATTAAACTAAAATTTTCATTCTAATAGATCAGCGTTTTTTAGTATAAACGAATAAGCGACCTCTTTTTATGGAAAACAATTCTGACGGTACCGTATGTACCTCTGTGTTGAGTATGTTTCATGGTTTACATGCAATGAATGGCACACATATTTCTTTACTCTCCATTATGATGACATTCTATTAAATTCGAAAATAGTGTAGCGATGAATGAACTGCCTAAAATTCTTGGCATTTGCGTCTACCAAAAACCAATAACCAGCAATTTTTTGCCTCCTAGACAAAAAGAATGCGCTTACAACAAGCCAAACAACACGCAATCGGAATTTCGCAAATAGCAAAGCGCTGAAAAATAGCTTCTGTATCCGTCGCTCTGATGAATCCTGGTAGGACGAAATAAGTGAAATCTAATCTTGACTGTCTTTTCTTTTATTTACCATAACATACTAGGCAAGGAAGTTCTCAACCCCGACACAGCGAGTCCCAATGGCTGATAGGGAAAGTTTCTGCAGATATGCAGGACAGGTACGAATAAGGCATAGCCAAATAAGTACCCGAGCATCAACTTAGGACATGGCATCAGGCATGCGGCAATGGTCCACTCATGCTGGCCACAAAACTTTACACTCCGGTACTTTTTGCAAAAACTGTGTTTAGTTCAAAATTAAATAAAGTTTACAAATTCAGGCAACTATAAAAAATTCGTTTTATTATATTCCAACTGGTTAATAATGTAACAAAAATCACAATAATGTATTTTTGTACAATTTTATTTCTTCGATTTGTAGGCATAGTGAATTATGTTCACTATGCACTATAGTTATGAAAATAGTACTTTTCATTTTATTTCTTACGAGTTAAATTTTAATTGAATATCAAATGTGTTTACCCACTCCTATACAACATAAAAAGAAAAATAACAGATACATAAAATCTTACCTCGAATACAGGCACAACATCCATATGGCTGTTTAACAGAATGGTTGGTAAACTTGGTTCCTTTCCAAGCCATGTTATTATCACAATTGGTTTCCCAGCTACCACAGATATAACCTTTACAGGAAGACCCAAACTCTTTGCTTGTTTTTCCAAGAACTTAACACATGGTTCTGTAAAAATACAATAAATAATTAACTTGAAAAAATTATTCAATGAAAATTAAAAGAAAATTAAAAAATAAGAATTTGCAAAAATTAAAAAAAATTGCACTTAAAAAATTCCACGGACTCTCCCAATTAACCGGCTTTAATTTTTTAAATCGAGATTTGAAAGATAATTTGCTTTTGCTTTTACAATTTTTTTTAGAATTTCCATTGACACCAACGAGCTGGAAAAATTTTATTTTTCATTAATTGTATATGTTATCATGCTATTTATCAGTTAGATTGATCTTCCTGTTTTTATTTCATTTGTTTTACATTAGTTATCCTGATTTTTTATGGTTTCTGAGTTAGAGCTCCCTTTTTAGCATAAGTCTACATATGAAGAGCAATACAAACATAATTTATTTTAGTACATATAGATTGTAACAAAACTGTCTGTGGTTTGTTAGTAAATAAAAACTGGATTTACAAAAAGGACATAAAAGAGCAAGCACTTTTGCAGAACCTGACGTTACGGAAGTAAGCCTTAGATGGATAGGGCATGTAATCAGTCGAGAGGAAGGTACAACAGTCAGAAAAGTTTTTGACCCAAGAAGGGCGATGGGACATCGACAGAGAGGAAGACCGAGACTTAGGTATCAAGACAACCTAGGCAATTATTTAAAATCGATTGGAGTTACAGCCTGGAGAAAAGTTAATAGTGGCAGTGAAACATGGAGATTGTTCCGAAAAGGCTCTTATCATAACACGCTGATGCCATTCTTGATAATAAGGGTGATGACAAAAAACACAGACATGTACCAAATGTTTCGATTAAACATGACAAAATAAAAATAATTGTAAAGTAGATACATTGAGGTAGAGAACTAATAATTTTTGTGAACATAGAAGAATTAAATAAACATGAAAATGATCAAATAAGACACTTAATAATTATTATAGATTAATTGATAATTTCTTGAAACAAATGTGGAAAGATATGATTACTAAACTCTGACAATTCAACAATTCAACTGAACGACATTATACACAAAAAATTCTACATGATAAAAACTCAATTCTTAACAGATGGGCACAGCAATTGTTTCAGCGAATATCTACGTATAAACGATATTGAAGGAGGTTACAACATAGACAATCAACAAAATCTACAACGTCAACTACACAGTAAAGACCCAACAAGAGAAGAAGTGTCAAATGCCATCCTAAAACTCAAATACAACAAAGCCCCAGGAATCTATTAAATCTGTTCGGAAATGTATAAAAAGGTGGTGATCAACTTTTTGCAGCAATCCATAAACTAATAGTACTTATATGGCAGAATTATTTGGTACCAGAATAGTGGCTAAACGGAATAATATGTCTGTTGCATAAAAAGAGTGATTAACTGGAGTATAAGAACTATAGAGGCATTACTCTGTTAGCATCTGCATATAAAATCTTCGAAAATGTATTGTTTGAAAGGCTTAAACATTTTACAAAGGATATTGTTGGTCAATATCAATGCGGATTTACTGCTGGAAAGTCAACTACACATCAAATTCAAGCACATAGGCAGATTCTAGAAAAGTCACTAAAATATAACATAGATACACACCATCTCTTTGTCAGCTTCAAAGCAGCCTATGACAGTGTGAAAAGAACTGCATTATATAATGCAGTGACAGACATTGGGATTCCACCCAAGTTAGTTAAGTTGACCCAACTAACAATACAAAATGTAAGCTCGTGCGTTAGAATTGAAGGACAAAAATTTTACATTCTTTGACATTAATAATGGTCTAAGACATGGGGACGCGCTGGCGTGTCTCCTCTATAATATTGCTTTGCAATAAGACAATTAAATATTAGAATTAATGGAACTATTTTAAATAGATCGACACAACTTCTCGCATTCGCTGACGATATAGTTATAATGGGCAGAAGTATGAGAGACATGGTGCAGTGTTTTACAAAGCTTACGGACGCAGCAAGTGAATTGGGACATGTGGTAAACGAGACAAAAACCAAATATATGTTGGTTTCTAAGAACCTCCGAAATATCCAACAGAGAATTCAAATTAACAACCATACCTTTGAGCAAGTCAAAGAATTCACATATCTTGGATCGCTAGTAAACGTAACAAACATGACAAGCGACAAAATAAAAAGACGCATAGCAATAGCAAACAGAACTGTTCACAGTCTCCAGAAACATTTAAAAAATAAAAATATAAAACATGCAGTAAAGCTTGTTTTATGTCTACAAGACCTTAATAAGACCGCTTTTGATATATGGAGCTGAAATGTGTACCTTATCACCTCAAAACGTGAAAGACTTTTTGGTATTCTTGAGAGAAAAATTCTTAGAAAGATTTTTGGGGGCCGTAAATGAAAATGGGATATGACGTCGAAGATACAACTTTGAACTAAGTTTGTCAGTTATACACCGATTCAGATATTGTGAAATTCGTTAAAGTGCAGAGATTTGCTTGAGATCGGCTGGACACATTGCTAGGATGTCTGATCACGAATACACAAAGAGATTAACAAACCAGAAGGCACAAGAAGCAGAGGACGACTACAAAGGAGATGGATTGATGATGTGAAAGAAGATCTACATATTCTAAGTTCAGGAGATGGAGGGAAGTTGCCAGGAATCGACAGGACTGGCGGCGCCTTCTTTGTGAACAGGCCAAGATCCACAACGGATTGTCAAACCACTAATGATGATGATACTCAAAAAATTATGGCGAACTGTCAGTTTTGTCAGAATTGTCAGAACTGTCAATATTTGTAAAAAAATAGAATACATCTATCTAATTAATAATTAGCTTTGAAAAATGAAAATATCTCAAAAACTAATAGATTTAGAAATAGGAAAAATTAAAGTAAGGTAATGGTACTTAACTGGTACGCACTGGTACGATAGTGACATAAAATACAGGGTGTTCTATTTAAAAATTACTGAGAAAATAATGTACTTGCGTTTTGACTCACCCTGTATCCAATATAGAGAAAATTAGCAATCTGAATCATCTGTGAAAATTTTGACAATCAATAAAAAAATATGACATCAATAGATCATTGTTATTGTGTTTCTTTTTAATTATACAGTGAGTAGAACTTGTTACGATTTTCATAGAACATTGCTTATTTATAACTTTTTAAATACTCTGTATAACATAACACAACTTTACACTGTTCTGATTGAGAAGAGAAGAAAATTTCGAATATAAAATAATATATAGGGTGTTCCATTAAAAAAAACATAATTTTGGTCTGCCACTATGTTATCGAACACTCTGTAATATTCTAACTAATTTTGTAAAGTAAACCTCAAAGTTACCTACAATTTTTGTATCTGATTTTTATTGCTATCTATTCTAATAGCCGATCTACTGAGCTTTATCACACTAACCAATCACCCTGTATATACTGACCTAAAGCAGTAAAATGAACTGTAATGAGAAGTATAAGATCAATTTTTTAAAAAATCTGAACATAATTCTAAATGTTAAAGAGGTGCCCAACTTAACTGTGTTTGATTAAAGTGAGTCTTCGAATCAGTTTAAAGAGCTGGGTCATTAATCCGGATCTCAGGAAAGTTGTATGGTTACAACCTTTAGTGGTAGCACTAGGGTCTTAACATACAGACTTAATTAGCAATGAACATATATATATATATATATATATATATATATATATATATATATATATATATATATATAATATATATATATTATATATATCAGAAGGTTACTGACTGCGGACCAACGTATCATACTTTAAGGGGTATTTATTGAGACACAAAGTAAAAAGGGTAAAAAAATTGTTTTATTTAAAAATTGTTTGCAAACAAAAATAGTTACTTTAAGAGTTGACTGATGTTTCAGAGAAGCATATCAAGTTTAATATATTCTGCAGAAATGACAGAGCTTAGAAATAACTGTCCTATAAATTTTATAATGTTTAAAAAGTATACTAATAGTATAAAAAGGTTACATACTTTTTTTAGTAGATAATAAATTTATATTAGATATTTATATTATTTAATCTTTATTTACACGAGATTTAATAATTTCATTTTATTTGAAACTGATTTAATAAACTTTAATAATTTCAGTTTATTAATAAATATTTAAAATTGGTTTAAAAAAATATATTTTTAAACCCCATCCGATTATTAATATTAATAACTTTACACAGATTAATTAATAAGTACATACTTCTAGGCAACTTTAACTCGCACAACATTTCCTTGGGATGTTATTTCACAGACAAAAGAGGAGAACAAATAGAAAAATGTCTTAATGAAACAGATTTTGTACTATTAAATACAGGAGAAAAAACTCGGTTTAACTCTGTTACTTTGCAATGGTGATCGCCAACGTCCGATAATTCTATTATGGCACGCGAAGAAGAAGAACTTTGTTACCGGCAATCATTCTGCTATCGATCTAACTATACGTGAAAGTTCCCTAGCATCTAGTATAAACTGGGAAGTATTAACCCATACCTACGATAGTGACCACTGGCCTATAAAAATATGAAATAATAATTCCACAAGAACAATAATAAATTTTTCAGAAACATGGAAAACTAAAGATGCAAATTGGATAGCTTACCAACGTAAACATTCAGTAGCCTGGTGGAACAAACAATGTGAAGACGCACTTAAACAACGTAAGCATGCATTTAATGTATTAAAAAATATATTATACACCGGAAAACATAACAGCTTTTAAAAAATATAGAGATTACGTAAGGTACGTAATTAAGAAAAGTAAACGTGAATCATGGCAAAATTATATTTCCACAATAGCCGAAAATACTCCTGCATCAGAGATCTGGGATAAAATTCGTAGGATTAAAGTCATTTCATACAGCAACAAAATTAACTCTCTTGACATTGTGGGAAACTTAATTAAAACAACAGTCAATTAGCCAATGCTTTAGCGAACTCATTTCAGACATATTCAAAAATGATTCCGTACAAACGAAGCACTGCAAGGACTTAAAAAATC